GCTAACCGATGCGCTGCACAACACATCTCTCGCTTCGAGCGCACTCATCCGGTGAAAATAAAGGCGCTCTGAATTCGATACAGCCATCAAGCCCAAAACACCTCATCGCGTTAGCGTTCAGCCCTAGCACCCCTAAGCAAATCAGCCCACGCGGCGAAGAGTGCCGCTTGGGACATTCGACTATTCTCACTCGCACGGAAGCTCATCCGCTGACGAGACAAAACATCAGGCCCATGATGCCAAGTCTCGTGGCTTGCGTTGCTGGCCTCAGGAAAGTTGTAGCGTTGCTGCATTTGTTCGATGAGAAAGCCACCAGCTGAAGTTTCAGCACAATGTGGATTCTTGAAAGGCTAGAATGGCTCGACATGGGAAACTTTGCTCGCTTCTTTGCTTGGGGAAATGGATGACAAGGTGGTGTGCTGGTTTGTATAAGGAGACTGGAGCGCCGCGATGGTGTTGAGGTGTAACTGCATCCTCCAGGCGCTACAAATACGCTCACACTCGTTTTTCTCTATCGCAATTAGCTGGACGACATACCACGTTGACGTACATTCATATAAACCTCTTCCAATCACTGTCACAGCCCTCTACAGCATCGGTCAACCACACCTCAGCCAACGCCAACCACCATCTTTCGATCACAATGTCAGGACCGTCAGGTAAACTCGGCGGTCTTTCCACCAGTGTCGTCGCCATCATCGCTGTCGGTGGTGTAGCAGGCCTGCTAGCCCTCATTGTCGTTACGTCTCTCATCTTGGACATACCAAAGCGTATGAAGCAAAAGAAGAACACTGGCCTCATGGCACCAGAAGAGATGGAGAAGAAGAGTGTAGAGATTGACGACGCGGAAAAGGGTGCTATCAAGCAAGCGACAAGAGAGATATCAGTTCAATCCCCGAGCTTGTATTCAAGCACATATATTGCTCGGCCAGCGTCGCCAGAGTGTCAATGCGCCCACCCATCGATAGTCGTACATCCCTCGCCAGTCTATTCGAATACCACAACGTTAAGATGAGTTTATCGGCACTACATTTAATGTTCTACGACACCTTTCTGTGAATACTTTATCCATTCGCACACGTCTACACCGCCCGGGTGGGACCGGGTCAGAGGACATTTTACATTCCAAGGTTACCTTCGGCGTTAAGACCTGGAATGTTCTTATAACCTTTCAAAAAAATTGTTCAGATGAGACGAGAGCGTCACGGCCGGAAGTTCGATACCCTGTTTGATGGATGTTCGGAGTTAACTGTTATCACCGTTGGGTAACGCAAGGCTGCGTGTCATGATACTACGTGAAAGCCCCATACACCACGGTCTAATCCTACTTGAGTACGATTATCGGACACTCTGTAGTATACAAAGCAGATTGTTCACTTATGTCACTGCGTTTCGGGACATCATTCGGCCGAATTGCATGTGTTACACAACACCTGCATGATCGCTTCCATGCAGCACGGTAGATTGCAACTGTCCACAATTGCTCGGCGTCAGCACTTACGATAGTAATGAAGAAACCAAAATCACTCATCAAGAAAGAAGACCATTGTTGTTCGTCGAAACCTCTATGATCCGTTCAGACGTGCAATGTTGACACGCTGCGCAGTACGCACCTGTGCAGGCTAGTGCGAAAGGTCGTCGGTCTTTCCGTAGCGCGCATCTCACGACAATCTTATGATGGAGCGGGATTAGCACTGTGTTAACGCATAGCATCGTCAGCGCAAGAAGTCTTCGGTAATAAGCGCTAACCGGGCGAGGCCACCGTCATCCTCGACGTTGCCCAGTTGTGTATCTAGACCGGACGACTTTTCGCCCTACCAAGGCAGCAGTCATGGCCGCTCCGAAACATGCGGGTGCGACTACACGGTACTACCGCTTACTCACGCATGATAAGATGTGGAGATATACTCAGCAGGTATAAAGACTGAGTATTCTTTGCACATCAAAGTCAGCAATTCAACCAGAACATACGAGCTTCAACCTCTTAAAGTCGCTCACGATATTACTGCACTTCCAATCTCTCCCAAATCCACAACGTTGAAGACATCATCCAAGATGGCGGACTTCAAGCCATACAGCGATCAGCCCGAGCTCCATGCCAAAGCACCCTACCGTGCCGCTATGCTCACGCAACCTGCAAACCTCAAACAAGCACTCAAAGACGCCCAGGCAGATGCGAGTAAGACCCTCATGGGCATTGCGCAAGGTATCCCAAGTACCTTCGTGACCAAGTTGATTGCCTCCACCAAGCCGGATTTCATCTGGATGGATGTTGAGCACGGCATGTACAACCGATTGACGTTGCACGAGTAAGTTCTCTTCGATCCAATTGCGACAAGACTTTGAGAACTTGAATGTGTATAAGAAACCAATGCTAACCTTCACGATAAAGTTGCATTCACGCCGCTCAGCATCATTCCGAGGGTAAATCAATGGTCATCTGCCGCGTACCCAAGCATGATGAGCTGAGTCTCACTACCGCCCTCGACGCAGGATGCGCCGGTATCGTCATCCCCCATGTGGAGAGTGCGCAAGAAGTCCGCGACTTCATCAAGGAGATGTACTTTGGCGGTTTGTCCCCCATATCTTGACCCTCGCCATCTATACTAACCCAGCATGTCTAGACGGTAAAGGCCATCGTTCATTCAGCCCGTGGGTTTTTACGCCCGGCTTGACACAATCGCTCTACCCCAACGACCCCTACAACGTTCAAACCGCCAACAACCACGTCTGCCTCATCCCTCAGATCGAATCTTTAAAGGGCCTTGAGGCTTGCGAGGAGATTGCTGCTGTAGAGGGCATCTCTGGTCTCATGTTTGGTCCTGGCGATTACATGATTGACGCTGGTATGGACATTCATTCATTCATGAACGGAAATCCCGATCCGAAGTTCTTCGAGGCCATGGGCAAATTCAATGCTACAGCTGCCAAGTATGATCTGCCTATCTTTGGGTACGTATATCGCATGTTACTTCACGTTGGACCAGACGGCTGACGGATGCTTTAGTGGTGTGATGGGGCTGGATCAGATACCCATGGCTATCCAAACTGGTATGCGAGGTATCGCAGTGCAATTCGATGTCTGGGGTACTACACGGCTCTTTGCGAGTTCTTTGGAAGCGGGCTGGAAACATGCGAAGAGCTTTGAGGGAAATCCGAAGCCGAGTATGGCGAACGGACAGGCGAAACCAGCCGAGTAGGTAGAGGCTTATGACTGCTATCAGAAAAGAGGCATCTAATCTATTTTTTATGGCTCCCGCCCACCAGCACTACACCGTGATGCACAAGGCTGAAGACATCAGGCTGCCAAGCTCAACCCCGATGAGTAATTCTTCCAACATCTTATCCGAGAGAGCACCCTCATTTGTGAGACCTCGCTAGGCATTACTAGATCCGGTCTCTGGCTTTCCAAAGGCTGAGGTTCTATCGCTGTTATGAGACCGGAATCTCCAATTACAAGGCTATTCATAGATTACGGCTGAAGTGAACGACTGGAGTTGTGTGGGGGCTGGCTAGGGCAAATATAGCTGTCCTCTCGACTTGCTCTTTGCCAGTCTTCTCATCTCCTCGTCCGTTTTCATTGTTTTCATCGACGAGTTGACTTCAGACTCGTCAGTATCTTGTTTACTGTGCGCTTTTCGGTAAACCGTGCTCCAGACTCCTACGTTATACGGATATGTCCCTCCTTATCTCCTTGTCTCCCACGACGCTTCTTCCAGTAGGTGCGCCGTCTGCTACATCGCCTATCGGAACGCCTGTTGCGGAGCCCGTGTCGCCTGTCACGACGCAAAGGTTCAGCTCGACTCCAGGGGCCTTCCCCACCCCCGTTGCGTTTTCTTCCTCATCTTATGCTTCCTCTTCAACATCCGTTGCAACGACAATCCCAGCTACACTATTTTCAGTGACACCTTCCTCATCCGCACTTCCACCACCAAACACCATTGCGCCAGCCTCAACCTCTCCCAACACAGGCTTATCGAGCGGGGCAATCGCCGGCATCAGCATCGGAGCCATACTTGGGGTTCTTCTTATCGCAGTCGCCGCCTTCCTACTTGGAAGACGCAGCTCTACTCATCAGTCATCCGCGAGCGACATTGCTGTTACTGAACGCGATGTTCCGATAGGTGGATACAAGGCAGAATCGGAAGGACAGGAAACAGCAACAGTGGAGCGTGAACGACGAGGCATTGCGCGGTGGTGGAGCAAGAAGTTTAGCAAGAGTGCGAGAATGAGGACTTCGAACGAGACTGAACCACAAGAGTCGTCGGCGGAAGAGGCTAAAGGTGAAGGTCATGTGCGACAGGTACGGGTGCGAGATGAGGATTTGCCAGAATTCCGTGGGGTCTGAATGTCTTTTCTGAGAAGTTTGTTAACAGTATTGAATGAAGCACGTTTCCCAGTCGCTCCTCCATCGCTGTTGCCTCTGTGCATGACCATCGGAACACGCGAAGTGAGCAGTGATATATGGTAAGGATGGATCCGAGTTTACCGTAGTCCTGGGCGAGAATCCTGAACGCGATTGTTGTAGCGCACTCCAAAAGAGGATATAGATCTTCCTGCCAGGTAAGGCGTCCGATGTGACGAGGCTGAGCGTGCTCCGCATCTTGTGAGTCTGCCAATCAGCCTTACCGGTTGGCGGGGCGGTTCCTCGCGCGCATGCGCTTTTCCCGAAGTAGCTAGTTCAGTGCTACTCCAACGAGAGATGGATGCACATAGCCCTGTGTTGCCATCACTGTGCTGTGATATAAGTAGAACGAGTAGATCGTCTCGCATACATAGTTAGTGCTTACTGCATTTCCTTGACACAGGATCAATAAGTATACGTCAGAGCAGAATTGCATATCAAGGGATCATACCCATCCCATCTTCATGTCCTTCCCAACTTCAGTATCGATTTCAGATTGCGAAAGAGACTCATCCGGAAGCTTAGTCTGTATGTCTAATCCAAGTAGCGAGTTCGGTCAGTATGCCTGCCTCCCTCACACATTTGAGTCTCTAATATGACGCCAGATGCCAGCCGAAATGATATGAAAGACACCTTCGGTGAGTCCGACCTCCGAGTTTGCAGCCGTTTAATTTGACTGACATCAAATCAGACAAAGCCGTCGACGCGCAACAGAGGATGATCGGCATTGGTGTGGGTGTCGGAGTAGGACTATTTCTTCTCTTCGCCGGCCTGGGTTTTTGGGCTTTCCGACGACATAGCAAGAAACGCTCGCGACAGATCAACCAGCAGGCGCAAATACAATCGGCTCTGATGCAACCGAGGATGCAACAGACGGATCCGCCGCAGTCCTGGATGAGGCAGGGCCAGGAAGTGGACGGCATGGCATACAGGAGTGAGGTCGAGGCTCAGGACAAGCAGCCTCATTACCAGTCACAACACTACCAAGAGATGAACGCGAATCCGTATGGGAACCAGTTCCAGGGTGGTCCAATGGTCGAAGCGCAGGGAACGCGGGATCCTCAGGAAATGGCGCTGAACCAGAGGTCGCCGCAGGAGATGCCGGGGAACGGGGCCTTTGGACAGCGTTGAACTAATTAACGTTGTAATTGTATCGATTACCCGACATTGACATGTGATGCGACAGATAACAACATGCTACATGGGTCGCAAAGTTCCAAGTTTTTGACGGTCAAGAGTTTGGATGAGTCCAGCCTGTCGCGTCTGCCAGCTTCGCGTCGCGGGAGCCGTGGTCCGTGCACGACCAGCCATCACCCAACCACCACATTTCCAGCCCTCGAGAAATTGCGCAGCACGACAGCAGCTATGGATCTAATAAACGGATACCTACATCGTGGTTCCCACACTGTCCTCTGCCAGCGCATACCCACACTGAAGCCGTGCTCAACACGTGTACACGACTATCAACGGCGCAGTCAATAAACCATCCCAATCCTTTCGATACCATGCTTCTCAACGCTCAGACTCTGGCACTGGCCGCTTTTTTCTCGACACTGGCTACCGGACGGCCTTTGGACCCGTCAAAGCCCCGCGAGATTGTCCCACGCAACAAGAGCTATTCGGTTGTCAATGTCGGCGGAGACGCCTCGACCCCGGTCGCAACAGCCACTTCGGTGATCAAGACGACGAAGACGGTCGAAGTCGTCGGTCCGGCACAGACTGTCACCCAAGAGGTCACTGCGACTGTCGTCCAGCCTCAACCGGCGCCCGCGTCGTCATCTAGCTGCAGCTCAAGCAGCGTCTTGAAGTCGTCGTCATCGTCAACACCTACACCGGCTTCGTCGATTCTCACGCCAACACCCACATCACCATCAACATCATCCGTCAAAAGTACATCAACTCCTAGCCCATCGGTACCTTCAGCAACATCAACTGCAACACCGACGATCTCGAGCTTGTCTTCCAGCAGCATCTCAACGCCAGTCGAGACGCCGAAGCCAATCTTCGTCACGGTCACGCTATCGCCAGACAATGGCCCCACGGAGTACTATGATGATGGCATGTGGCACACGCATTACCGCGTGAAGACGTTCGAAGCCGCTGCAGCTGTCACTCCGGCGCCATAGCTAGCTGCGTGATGTCTGCGGTCCAGGCTTCTTTGGTGTTTTTGCTTTGGCGGCAGACTGGCTCGACCCGCCTGTTCCTTTCTCCCTGTGTTTTACGATATACGAATAATGGCCGGAAGCCAGCCTAGTACGGCGAGGAGTTATATTATGAAGATTAGACACGTCTGTGAGACGAATACCGATGTACCAATAGATTAAATAATAGATGCATGCACAAGCCCAAGTTTTGACATGGCAGAGTGATGGTGGTGGATGCTGTGATGACGCAGGTCGAAGGGGAGCTTGCATCCCTGCGTGCTTGGCGAACGGTTACACCCAAGGCGGCGGTGCGTATCCACGACGAGCTCTCCACACCCCCGGACGATCCGCCTCTCTCGCTCACAATGGCGTCGCCGCCCCCCGTAGAAGACCAGGCCCGGCTGCTCGAAGATGCCCTGGCCGTGGTGCGCCAGCAGACGATGCTCATGCGGCGCTGCCTCGAGACGCCGGGCAAGCTGATGGATGCGCTCAAGTGCAGGTACGCGCCGCCATACTCTAAGCTCTGAGGGCCCCTCTGGTGATGTTTTGTGGTGCTAATGACCCCCATGATAGCTCGACCCTCGTGTCGGAACTGCGCACCAGCAGCCTCGGCCCCAAGCAGTACTACGAGCTGTACATGGCCGTCTTCGATGCCCTGCGCCATCTCTCCGTCTACCTGCGCGAGAACCACCCCGTCAACCACCTCGCCGACCTCTACGAACTCGTCCAGTATGCCGGCAACATCATCCCGCGCCTGTACCTCATGGTCACCGTCGGCACCGTCTACATGGCCATTGAGGATGCGCCCGTCAAGGAGATCATGAAGGACATGATGGAGATGAGTCGCGGCGTCCAGCACCCCATCCGCGGCCTCTTCCTGCGCTACTATCTGGCCGGCCAGGCTCGCGACTGCCTCCCGTCGGGCGACAGCGAGGGGCCCGAGGGTAACCTCCAGGACTCCATCAGCTTCATCCTGACCAACTTTGTCGAGATGAACAAGCTGTGGGTGCGCCTGCAGCACCAGGGCCATTCCAGGGAGCGCGAGCAGCGGACCAAGGAGCGCCAGGAACTGCAGCTCCTCGTGGGCAGCAACTTGGTCAGGCTCAGCCAGCTGGTCGACCTGGACAACTACAAGAAGATCCTCAACCCGCTGCTGGAACAGATTGTGCAATGTCGCGATGTCTTGGCCCAGGAATACCTCCTCGAGGGTATGTATCGGATTGCCGACCTCAGGATATCACTAACACGCAGCAGTTGTCACCCAGGTCTTCCCGGACGAATTCCACCTACACACGCTCGACCAGTTCCTCTCCGCCGTCGCACGCCTAAATCCACACGTAAATGTCAAAGCCATCGTAGTCGGCCTCATGGATCGATTGTCGTCGTACGCGCAGAGAGAAGCCGAGTCAGAAAGCCCAGAGCAGCGCAAGAGGACGGAAGAGGAGTCAATAGCACAACTCATGGAGCAAATGCGGATAGCGAAGGAAAAAAAGGCCGCCGAACCCGAATCAGCGCCAGCGCAGCAGAACGGAGACGCAGAGGAACCCTCAGAGACGCAACCAAGCACGGAAGAAGACTCCGAAGAGGCATCGAAACCCGCAGAGACCTCCGCCGAGAACGACGAGACCCCAGCGACCGAGACAGATGGCGATATCGAGAAGAGACGCGGCATACCGAACAATGTCAAGCTGTTCGAGATCTTCCATGAGCAGGTGCAGACGCTGGTCAAGATGCAGCGGCTACCAATACAAGATACGATCGGACTATTGGTATCGCTAGCAAATCTTGCCTTGTACGTCCCAGCATACTTCCTAAACCAGGCACGATACTAATATTCACAGGAACATTTACCCCGAAAGGCTCGACTACATCGACCAAGTCCTGACGTTTGCGAATCAAAAGGTCGCCGAATACGCGAACAGCGCCGACCTGCACTCGCAAGCAACTCAAAGCCAGATCCTCAGCCTCCTCCTTTCGCCGATCAAGACCTACATCTCTCTCTTTACCGCGCTCGCATTACCCAACTTCATCCCTCTGCTACATTCACAACCATACCCGACTCGGAGAGCCGTGGCCGGCGAAGTCGCAAGAAGTCTGATGCGGAATCAGACCTACATCGCATCCGTGGAGAACCTCGAGAGTGTGCTGGAGATCTTGAAGGTTCTCATTCGGGAAGGCATCCAGCAGGCGCAGGGATACCCAGGAGGACCGATTCAAAGACGGGCACAGGAGACGGAAGAGACGATAGAAGAGCAGGGATGGCTCGCGCGGATAGTACACCTCATTCGCGGCAAGGACAACGATACCCAATTCAAGGTGAGTTCAATCAACGTGCAGACAATAGTACGTACTAACAACTCCCAAGCTCCTCCAAGCCGCACGCAAGTCCTTCGCCGAAGGCAACGAGCGCGTCAAGTACACATCCCCCGCCATCATCACAGCATCACTCAAGCTCGCTCGGCAATACAAGAAGCGCGAACATTTCGAAGACAACTGGCAATCACAATCATCCGCTCTCTACAAGTTCATGCACAGTACACTGTCGACACTCTACACCCGCGTTACTGGCTCCGCAGACCTCTCCCTCCGCCTCTTCATCGCCTGTGGTCAAGTCGCAGATCAGAACGGCTTCGAAGAGGTCGCATACGAGTTCTTCGCGCAGGCGTTTACGATATACGAGGAGGCCATCAGCGACTCAAGAGCGCAGTTCCAGGCTGTGTGTGTCATTGCGAGTGGCCTACACACAACGAGGAATTTCGGCAAGGAGAATTACGATACCCTGATCACGAAGTGCGCGTTACATGGAAGCAAGCTGCTCAAGAAGCCGGATCAGTGTCGCGCAGTGTACCTCGCAAGTCACCTGTGGTGGGCGACTGAGATCAGGGCATTAGGCGAGGAGGACCCGAAGAACGTGAGTGAACCCAACCCGACTTTCAAGAAACCAGTACTGACTAGTATAGCTGTACCGCGACGGCAAGCGAGTGCTTGAGTGCTTACAACGTGCTCTCCGTGTGGCCGACGCATGCATGGATGCCGCGGTCTCAGTCGAGCTCTTTGTCGAGATTTTGAACAGATACGTCTACTACTTCGACCAAGAAAACGATGCTGTAAGTTGCCATCTTGCAAACTCCGAAGCTTTTCTAACGATTACTAGGTCACGACGAAATACCTCAACGGTCTCATCGAGCTCATTCACTCCAACCTACAATCCAACGAAAACGCTTCTTCGCTCGAGAACCCAAGGAAACACTTCCAGCGCACCCTGGATTACATAGCGAGTCGAGAATATGAGGGTGTGGTAACAGCGGCAAAGTAATGTTAGTGGGAAAAGGAGATGCGGCGCCTCTTTTGAGTTGGAAGTCCTTGTACGACTAGATGGACATGGATATTGCACGCTCGTATACCAAGTACATAGTATGGGAAAATGGAGAATGCTAATGAAGCCGAACATGTTGTAGCATAGCACCCATGTGCCAAGCGTCTTCATGGCCACTTGCAAGCAACATGGTGATGACCACCATCATCACGACTATGCACAATATTCGCCAATGCGCTAGAGGGTATATAAACTATATCTGTGTCTGTCTACTCTAACTCTCTATCATTCTGCTTACTCGGCCTCTTTTCCAAAAAGCTCAAAAAAAGTATCGAGAGCACGTCATGGAGTTGCCCGGTGTTATCATTGCCTCAAAACCCCAGCGAAAGACCCCATGTCTTTGCCTGATCTTCCCAATGTTACTCTTTTTTTTTTATCAACAGCTACCCAAGGAGACGAACATTTGTCTTTGCTTTTTCTCTCAAAAAACTGCGACTACTATTCATGTTGGTCGCTATCGTGATTCTTACATGAGGTACTATTCTGAAACGATTTTGGAAAATTCGGATGTTGGTGGCTGTGGTCGCAATTGCTGTGTGCATCGATTGAAGCTGTGGTTCAAAAAACGAAAGCAACCATGGACATGGATTTGGAATCTCGGTGGACTGACATTACCCGAAAATAGTCTTACAATAATTCATGGGCTACTAGGAGGCTTAGCTGGAGTACAAAAGACGTCATCTCCGCTTTCATGGCTGGGAAGTCTTCTACACTTTGACATTTCATCTTCATCACCAAAAACTACTCGATGACGACGTGTGTGTTCCGCCGGTATTCCTCCAAAACACAGCAAACAGAACAATGTGAATTCCCTTCTCCGTGTGGACTTTAGCCTCTGCCTCTCAAATGGTATTCAAGTGGATCGATACTGTGCTTTCAGGCTTTCTCAAAACTCTCGACAACAAGCTACATGAGCCTTCCTGTGGCTCTTCATTATTTCAGTAGCTTATACACCCGTAGCTTCTACAAAATCACCTCGGTATTACCTGATTTGCAACAGAACCCAAAGGTGAAACTCTGATGTGAAGTTTGGAATGCAACTGTCACAGAGAATAGGAACAAAAAGTGATACATGTTGACATTATGATCAGATGGGAGAAAAGGCGATCGAGACCTGTATCGCCATGTATGAGAAGTGGAAAAAAACAAAGGACGTGTCGCTATAGTGCTGTGGAGCGCATCGAGGAATGGATCAATTCGGATCTGGCTTTCTGATTCTTGCTCACACCAATTCCAACCTTTCTTATTCTCAAAAAAAGGCAGCCATCAAAGACATGGGAACGTATTTAGTCTCTCTGTTCAAATCGAGCGTGGAAGCTTACGATGTCGTCCATCGATCTCATAATCGGGGCATGATGGAACCCAAACTGCTACATATATTCATTCAAAAGCTTATATGAAGCTGAAGTGCCCTTCTAAAGAGCTCACAACCTTAGGCCATGGTCATATCAGGCAGCGCTCCCTTGTAAAACTCGCTACGCCCTTCAAAGTCGAAATCCAACCCCACACATCCAAACTCCACCATCTTCTTGTCAAAGTTCTGGTACGTATACTCAATGAACATGTCGATACCTGTATTGAAGTCAGCAAACGTACATCTCAAGCTACTCCAGCATCGAAGGGGAATGAACTTACCACACCCGGCACCCCCCGCCGTCCAGATCTCCGCGCCATCAAACCACCCCTCATCAATAACCCACCTACGATCCACCCACTCTGTCCCAGGAAACATCTTCTTCGCCATCCCCAACATGACCCTATTCGTCGTAGCCTTCCTCCCCTCCAACACCCCACTCCTCGCCAACCACATGCCACCCGTGCACGTGGTAAGGATGACTTTCGTCTGCTTACTCGCCTCTTTCAAAAATACCAGACTCTCTTCGTGGACAGTAGCGGGGTTCGGGCCGCCGAGAAGCAGGATATCGAGGTCACGCGGGGCGTTTGCGTAGGTGTGCGTGGGTCGCACGTACATGTCTGGGGTTACGTGGGCAGGGTCCATGGTAGATGATATGTAGAGGAAGGTCATGGGGATGGCATGGGGTGCCATGGACACGAACTGTGGGTTCATGGCTATGATCAGGTTGATGGTTTGGGGTGTGAGGTTGCCGAGGAGGTCGAGGCCGGCGAGGTCTGTCATTTGCGTTCCCTCGTATAGGACGCCGACGCGGATGGGGGTTTGGGTTGAAGACATTGTTGCTGAACTGTCAAATTTGAGATGGAACTGAAACTGTGATGCTGGTTGGTGGTACGGAAAGTTGCTCACTGCCTTCAGCTACCTTATACATATACTCACTTTAGTTTGAACGCATCGGATGGTGACTCAATTGCCGGTCCGCTGCAACTTCCTATATGATTTTGCATATGTACGATACTCAAAATGTCTGCGGACTGTGTTTAGCGTCACGAACGAATCGTGGTTACAAGAATGTTGCTGCCTGAAATATCGGGTGGAGACAAAGAACCGGAGCGGATATGTGGAATACGCCGTGCCGTTAGGCAACCAGCATGAGAATTTCAATTTAATAGCACTAAACGCCTAAGATACTTGTATAGGAAATACTCAGGATTGAGTTGTAAGTATGTACAATAAGGGAAGCGTCCAGAGAGTGGGACGATGTGTGGACCAATGTGCGCGTAGCGTACCATAGGTACGACATGCTACAGACGCCGGTCAAAACAAGAATGTATGATGGACAAGCCATTAGAGATTAAGGAAAGTCGTGAGTTCGTGGGTATTGCTCAAAGAGACGAACCCTATCTGTGCGGTGCCTCTGAGCTGAAGCGACGGAATTCCTCCCTCGCGAGTTCTTTCTCTCGCACTTCGGAGCTTGTTGCGCTGCTATTATCATTACTGTACTTTGAACTTGTCTGTCGAGTAAGATCGCAAGAAGCGGGAGTCTTAGGTTCGTCCGATCCCGCGACTGAGGTGGCGCGTGTTCGCTGTAGTGATGCGTCTCGGATGCGAGTGGAATCGCCACTCATGTGGTTCAACAATGAGATAATTTCCAGACTAGGTGTCCTTGTCGGTCCAGTTCGATGAGCTGGTCTTGATGACTCGGAGGGCTTCTGGATCGGGAGTTCGGGGATCTCTTCGATAGCAGGGGTTCTTGCACCCTGAGAATTGGCGCTGTTTGCGCGGCTGCGGATGACCTCTGTCTGCGGGAAACTAACGCGCTTCCTGGTCTTTCGGGATGGCGAAACACTTCCACTTTTAGATGGCATAGTAGGAGTGTAAACCGGTACTGGCGTTTTGCGATGAGATCTCGGAGGTGGGGTCGAAGGGTTGGCTCTACGTCTGTCACTGTTTGATTCCAGCCTGGCCAATGCGTCGGTAACCGCATCGCCTACATCGAACTCATTCAATTGGTGATGTTCAAGCTCATATGTCTGTTGTTGCGGGGTGCCCCGACGCGATGGCGGATTTGTATGCTCCAGAACAGAACTTGCACCCGGCGGTGGCGTGGAAGCTGGCAATGGCCATTCAGCAGGCAGTTCTGGAACTGGCGGCACATTGATATCGGGGCGCGAAGCCTTGTCATTTAGTGTTGTCTTAGATGAGGCTGCGAAAGAAATGGTAGTGTGGCGGCTTCTCGATGAGTCGCCCGAGAGACGCTTGACCTTCCAGCTACCTGTGTTGTCTACTTCTAGAGTCGAATGAGGGTATTGTAGTGAATCAGCCAGTGTCTGGGTGTCTTCGAACACGGAAGACTGGTATCTGTGTAGCGTTTGACTTGAGTCGTTGGGGTGGGCCATCGGGTGAGCCAGAGTGGGCGGGGGTGCGGTAAGATTCTTCTCGTTCTCGTCGTGCAAGTCAACGCGGCTCCTGGAGTAGTCACCTGACTTCCTGGCCCCATTTGGCACGTAGAAACGTAGGTCGACGCGAACCACTGCAAACATGATGATGACGAGGATCTCAGTGACAAAATTGAAGCAGTAGAAGCTTCCCTTGGTCAGGTACCACGGCAGCTTGATGACGTCGCGCTGTACATCAATCAATGGGGTTCCTGGAATCCAGGCCAGAACGCAGCGGAAGATCTGCCCGATGGAGAGAACAGACACCGAGATGAGGAGGATGATGATGTTGTACCTCAGTCGACCAGCGCCAAACTTCTCGACTTCTGTCCTAGGAACGAGGAGCGAGATGCCTACTAGGATAGCTGGCGCAAAGCAGAATATCGTAAAATATGTCTGAGCGAGGACGAATAGGTCGTGGAAAGCAGTAAGCTTGCTTTGGTCGCGTGTGAAGAACTGCCAGATCTGGCTTATGATGAGCATAAGTAGAGTGGCTACCAACAGAATCAGTCCGCCTCGGTGAAAGATGCGGTACGGCGTTGACCATCCTAGGCGCGCATGCTGGGAGCGGACAATACGTTGGACAAAGAACCAGTTCACTCCGTACAAGATGATGGTACCGATGTAGACGAAGATATTGGCCGCGATGGCGAGTCCGATGTTCCTGGGATAGTTGGCCCATGCTATCCGCAGGGACATGGTGATGATTCTGATCTTGCAAAGACCTGCAATGTGTTAGCCGTGTGCATACTAGTCAATAGGACTGAAAGGACTTACCGAGTATAGCGCCATTGAAGATGAACTTGTGCCCGCGATGCTTGTTACCCTTGAAGATCTTGATGTGGATAACGCCAAAGATCAGGTAGAGTATGAGAAAGACAATGGCGAGAGGTACGTCAGGCACAATGGCAGGGGTTCCACCCAGGCCGGCATTGAGGGGCGCATATGGAGGGCCTCGACTGGCTTGCCCAGAAGCTCCAGACTGACCATGGTTAGTTGCGCGTAGAAGGAGGCTGGAATTGACATCACTCACTGGAGGTCCTTGGGTTCCTTGCTGCGACATCTTTGCCCGTTTGATGTTGGACGTATGAAACGTTTGCTGCAGAGGAGGTTGGAGAGAACCAAAAAGCTCTACCTGGGAGGCGGGAACGAGGTGGTGTATATCAGGTTCTACTGCCACGCGACTGATGCAGTCTAAACGGTAGTATGCATCGCTTAGAGCAGAGCAGCGGCTGACCCAGATAAGCAAACTAGATGACGACTATGCAATAACCATACCATGTCCAATCCAATTGGGTGGACGGTCGTTCCATACGACGTGCCCGGCCTATCCGCAGCCGTGCCTAGATGTGGCAGCACAAGGCCTCACTGGATTGGGGCTACCGGCTTCTGCGGTGAGTGGATACCTACCGCACCCGTGGTACGCGAGCGATCTTTCCGCAGATCTAACGTTTGCTATTCTCAACGCATAGTATGCTTTTTCTAATTCAGTCTCCTTTCTGCGGTGTATAGGTGTTCTTGCATCTTGAAGAATGTACAACACGTTTTCCATGACCAAGAACACTGCTCACATTGCGCCGCAGTCAACTGTGCCTCAATAAGGTGCCTTCATGTTGACGTTATCGACGGCTGACGGTAGTACCGGGTCTCCTCAGTGATGCCGGAGATCAGCAGAACGCAGTTCCTGAGTGGATGGTCGGCGAAAACGTCAAACGAGCTCCGACCCAGATGAACCCAAACCGGGACAGGGCACTGCCTTGGGCACGGTGCTGAATGATGCGTCCATCGGGGGGTTTTGCAGAACAAAGGCCGACCTGCTTTTGCCCCGAAATAGACGTCGCATGTGAAAGTCTAGAGGAGGCTGAGAGATAAGGTGTCGCACTTGCATAAAGGAGCGAATTGAGCGTGTGTCAAGCTAGGGAAAAGGAGCAGTTGAGGTTGAGAATGGATATCTTGAGGTGTGGTGTGGCGGATGGCAGCTACCCCAGATTTTCGGAACGGTGAAACTGATCGGAATGATGCTGGAGCTCGACGTTGCGTGTGTCCAACCACAACGTTCAGCACATCGTAATCTCGGCCAATGCTTCCTCCAAACCCCGTCGTAGTTTCCGCAATTTCGTAGCCTTCGCCATGCCGCCCAAGTCTAAACAACGCGCGGTCAAGTCCGCCGGCACAAAGTCCAAGAAAGCCATCCCACAGCCCTTCACCGCAGCCCCGGCTGAACTCGAGACGCTCCTGTCCACCTTCGACCGCTCGCTCGTTTACATAACACATGTCGATGTGCATCCAGCCTGGTTCAAGCGGCGTATATTCGGCGTCCCAGTCCTCCTCAACACGGCCATAACCGCGCTCGTACTATGGCGCCTGTACGTCATCGGGCCTCACTACTGGGCCATCCTCATGTCCGTCATGGGAAACCACAATGAGACTACCATATACTGGGCAGGCACGTCTTGGGCAACTCTGCTATGGAGGGTAGGAAAGCGCATGGCAATGTTCATGCTGGACTTCCTACTTTTCCGGTTCGTGGCGCTCTGGCCGTTCACCTTCTTCATTGAGCAGCCAGGCAATCCCGTGAGCTGGCGGTGGAATGTGGGCTTTAGGGACGAGGAGGTATATGTGAGGGTCAGCAGAGGATGGGGAGCCAAGGACCTGCTTGGGGAGGCTGAAGGTGGAAGTGGGCGTGCAGGCGCGGATAATCCCTTCTTCAAGACAAGAGTTCTGCCCGCGGTTGACAAGACGAGGTTGAGGGAGAAGACGGGATATCTGTTGATGGATTCAGACTTCGACCTGGACTTCTTTGGCATGGTTGCTGCCACGCAACTGCTCGATCGCAAGGACATCACACTCGACCACCTCCGCAAATGCGTCTTCGTCTACGTCGGCGACCCTGAAGCAGAGAACGGACAATGGGCCGTCTGGGAATGCGCGAAGCTCGACGAAGGCTCGGAAACCGAAGCGAGGGACAAGGTCATACAGTTCAAGGACCGGCTCACAGCCATGGGCAAGGAGAGCTTGTTCTTCAGATGGGTCGAGCTCATCCAGTACGAAAGCAACGCTCCGGGTGGCTTCACGCAAGAGCGACAGATAGCTGCCGCCGAGAAGGTGAAGAAGATGTTCGAAGACGAAGGAGTGGACTTCGAGGTATTTGAAAAGGAGATTGGGGGTATGGATGGGTTGGCAGGTGCATAGGCTGGACCTAACGTCGAGTTTCAGGATAGACAAAAAGGAAGCATGATTGGGGTTCGTGAACGCGTTGATAAGATACCCAATTTTGTACATTTCGAAGATTTACATCTACTCGTAAAGTCATGCCTACGTAGCATAAAAGGTTATACATAAGTCGCCTCGGACTCTCCGCTCAACTTCAGCCTCTACTCCTCAGCATCTTGCCCAATGATCCACCTAGTATCTTGGCCTCCTTACTTCTCGATCTTGGTGTTGGACTCGCATGCCTCGACTCCCGTGTCTTAGACTCTATGGGAGAAGTTTCCCTGCGCCTCCGTACGGCAGTGCCCTTAGCCTCTGCGCTGCTGGAAGAGTTGAGCGTGTCGCTGCGTTTCCGAAGACGGCGGGTAGGACTCGAAGAGGAGGTGGTTTGCGGGTGTGAATGGGACTGAGAAGTAGCATGTGGAGATACGGATGTAGATGTCGTTCTGCGTCTGCGCTTCTCTTCGGTATGTCTGGACTCTGGTATCCGCGCCGCTGCAGGGCTAGGAGTGCGTGTCCGTTCTTGTTCCCGTTGTTGATGTTCTTGTGTTTGTCTTTCCTGCTCGGCAATCACACTTCTCCTCTCCATGTCTTCCAATTCATCGATGGATACCTGCACCACCTTCTTCACTGGTGCAGCCTCTTCTCGACGTCTTCTTACAGGCACGTCACTCCTCGACGCAGCATACGCGTCTAGAAGTTTCTCAACCTCTTTGCGATTCGCATCTGTGCTGGCTAGACGGACAACTTCCAAGACGAGGAGGAAAGCGATAATGTAGCCGACGAAGAAGCCGGTCCTGGCCCAGAACTCTGGATTGATCAGGAACGAGAAGAGTTTAATTGTGGCGAGAAACATTTTGGCGTTTTGAGAACTGATCTTGCGTTGAACGTGGGAATGACCGAAGGATCGTAGTGTAGGCGCAAGCCAGATAGTGAGGTCGAACAGAAACGAGGGGCGGCGACAAAGAATGAGTGATAGTAAGCCTTCCGACCCCAAATTACGGCGTAAATACGGCGTGGTCGTCAACAAGAAGAGAATGTACTGTGTGCGGCCCGCGCTCGAAAGATAAGAATGTTGTTACACCGCACCGTCCGCAAGTTGCTAGACCTGCTTCACGTTGCTTTTACCTCCCTCGCGCAGCAGCGAGCCCCTCCACCTTATAACGTCCTGTCAAGCCCCCACAGAGGGCGGCATACTGAGACACTTCGAGCCCACAAGGTACGCGTCCCAGGTGTTCCGCCCCTAAACCTTGCGAACGACACCCCAGAACCGGGAAACTATTAATGGTTGGAGGATTGGATGGGCGGCGCTTGAAACCAATCAGCATGTTTCAGCTGGGGTGATGCAAGGGTGTCTGAGTTAGCAGGTGTTTGAAGTCCGCAACACCATGCCGGATGCAGATGTGAACTTGTCTAGAAGCGAGGAGCGCGCGCCAATGGGCTGGGGTAGCGGCGCGATTGTGTATCAGTACCCAGGCGACGGTTCGCGTTGGTCGCTCGTCATCGGAGTCTGGCCGAGCAATCTGCAAATGGTGGCTTGCGTAGGTTTTGAGTTGAGGGGCAGGCAGAGTTTGGAGAGTGCTCAGGTGGAAGCCCATACGTCACGTGCTGCGAGGACGCGCCGCTGCTCGCGGGGCAACAAGATGCTAGCCTTTCGGCATCACTGATACATCCAACAACAGCCGCATTGCGTATCGCAATCGCAGAATGCGATACTCTGCTGTCTGGCGACCACCCCAGAATATATTCCTCGTTGTTCCTTGTCGACGCTGCCCAGGTGTTCACTCATGCCCTGACCTATGTCGACTAATCGTCGATTACATGACGGCATACTTCTACTACACAGCGTCAGTATGTACAAGATCAGGTAGCACTTCTAGTCCCATGTAACGGCAGTATCAACCATGGAGACGCGTTGCTGGATGGTCCTCCAACTATCGACGCTCAACAGCGAGAACAGCTTTCAAAGAAGGGAGTAATCCTGTCGTTTAGAGTGATGTGCTAGGCAAAGGCTTCGACTACGCGCGCTACACTGGCGTAGATGAGGTAAGTAGGGCTACCACCAGGTCGCTGTTGAGTAAACACTGGGCTCCACCTTTCACGTTGAGTTTGGAGCCGAGAGACCCCGCCTGCGCGCTCGAAGATACAAGTACAGGCTTGATCATCACGGCTGAAGCCAAAGCGTGTGAAGAAAGGCTACGCCGGGAATTGGAGAAGGAAGAGGAAGAAGCCCGAGAACTGCAGGCCAAGCTTGAACAGAATAGACAACGAGCTACTCGAGGCTGATGCCACACAGGCGGAACTACCCAAAAAGATGTGAAGCAGATGTCTTAGTCCTTCATTCCGTCTCGATCACAAAAGCATCTTAAAGCCGAAGTTGAGGTATGCGATAAATTTCTTCTTATGCAATGATCAAGGATCAGTCGATAAACCAACATGACCCTTGCTACTCACACGCGATATCCAAGACGCTATCATAATAATACAATCGTGGCGTATCCAACTCCTGTTTCAAACATGCGGCCTTAATAGACAAGACGCCTTCGCTGAATCAATGCGACAAAAGGAAAGTAATGAATGACCGTGACAAAAGCAATTCCTTGCCGTCACCTGCCCCCAGGCAGAATCTCGTCTTCAAACATGCTGTGATCCCAGCCCTTCTCCTCCATAAGTTTGGCCGCCTCGTCGCTAATCCAGTGGCTTTCCCTCATGGTGCTCCCAGCTTTGATAGTCTGGCTGGCACTGTAATTAACGGCCTGCGCCTCTTCGAAACCAAAGAACACACTCCACATGGTGGCGGCAATCCAAGAAAAGAAGGACGATATTGGTACCCACCAGCCTTGAACGAAGGTCCGGTAGATGACTGTGGGTATGACAAAGGGGAACTTGGGAGCCTTCATGTTGACGCTGAACGGGTGGGGCGACGAGTAAGCATACATCGGCTGGCAGTACATCTCGCTGTGAGACTAGTCAGTAACATTCCTGTACGCGTAACGGCAGAACAGATGCAACATACCAAGCAATCTCTTCACTTATCCACCAAGTGAAAAGGATTATCAAGAAGATACTCAAGCCTGTGAGCCCGCCCCACGCTCTCCCCCAACTGTTCGATGTCTGGCGCAGGGTCTTCAATTGTTGCTGCCAAAACAGACTTTTCCACCATCTCAACATGGAAAAGTTCTGGACATGATCGTCTATCGCGCAAGGGCATGCACGACTCACCACTTTGACTTTTTCGCCATTCTCGCCCTCTTCTACGTGCTCGACTTGGTCTTCGACGCGCTTCATGCCGCGGCTTGCGTCGCGAATGCTGGTCCGCGCTGCGCGAAGCCGGTCGTTCATGCGGTGGAGATGTAACAGTTCTTGCTGTCGCTGGCGCTCTGCCTCGTTACGAGGAGTCTCGGTCGGTAGCTGAAGGCCTTGAAGAGTGTCTTCGTCTATTTGGCTTTCACCTGACGGAGCGATGAGATCCTCGAGTGAGTTGATGGTCGAATCGCCGAAGTCGGCTGATGGCCGTCTGCCTTGAGATTTGGCTTCGTCTACGAGAGCCTGCAATGCAGACTTTGGAAGTTGAGGGCGAACAGGCTCTACGGACATGGCTTCGGATGGCTCTTCGGCCTTCTCAGACGGTCTTTGCTTGCGCGGACTGCCTTTCTTGGGTGAAAGTGAACGCGATCTGGACGCCACGGCAGGTCTTTGTACTGTACGCGGGCCTGGTGTATCGACCCAAGCACCAGTCACCACTGGCGTCTTTGGGTTCAGGGCAGGTCGCTCTTTCGGCATTGGTGTAGCTTCCACATGCTCGGTGCTTGCCGCAGCTTCCCTGGATTCAGTGTGCTCTTGCCGCACGATCGAGGTCGCTGCTGCCGCATCAGGAACCTCGGCAGAGACAGGCGTCTCCTCCACAGAGGCGGGTTTGCTTTCAGATTGCGTAGTCTCGGTCAGCACAGTCTGCGGTGCGCTGTCGAGCGGTGCCGGGGGCGCAGATTCCGGTCTGGATGGTGCTGCCTGTCTCGGGCTTGGTGTGTTGGATACTCTCGCGAGCCGCCGCAATAGATCCTGTGAGTCTTCTCTTCGATTCGGTATGCGTCTTGGAGGGACAGGCTGGGCCGTGGCGACTACTTCGCGATCTACTGTAGCTATGTTCTCAGCACTCTTGTACATGGCAACCGGCGGATCTTCCATGCCGATGCCCGTGACCGGTTGCGCCTTCCCAATGGACTGCCACGAATGAGTCCGCGTGCGCAGTCTCCGCTTGGGCGAAGGAGCTGGCTGTGTCACCTGATCTGTTATTCTCGCGCTGCTATCTACGGTGTCTACCGTCCGTATAGAAGACGTCCGCGGGCGCGATTGTTCGGGCGACCCTTGGCGCATTCTCTCCAGCCGGGCAGTGGCTGCCTGCTCCTTGACACTCTGCATCTCTCTCTGCCGTATATCGTCTAACACAGTGTTCCGTGGTATGTAAGGCGTGGATGCGATCATAGAGGCCTCGTTGAGCTCGAACGTAAGGTCCCACTCTTGCGACTGGTCGTTGCGTGGTGTGCCCTTGTGCGAGAGCGGGCTGTCTTCGACTGAGCGACGCGGCACGTTTGCATGTGCTTCATCGTAGTGGTCGTGTATTGTGTCGTCGGCTCGCTCGGGTGTCTGCTGCTGCTCTTCCTCGTACGTGATGGTACGCATCCAGTTCCGGTTGCTCCTGCTCTTCCTCCCCCATGTAGCTGGCGCGTGTATCGCCGGGTCGCTCCTCGCGCTCCCGGTGCTGCTGGGCGGGCTCTCAAATTTGACATGGCCATCCGCCCCAGCTACCGCGTTGTTCCTCTCCAGGTTGTCCAGAGTCAGCCCGACGCGTGGGTGCGTGCGTGCCTTCCGGAAAGCCTGCGGTCTGCTCCCCAGCGCCTGGTTCAGCCGCCGCTCGTCGCGCGCATTCTGGATCATGCGCTTCTCGAATTCGTCCTCGGCATCGTTTTCGAGATCGCTCAGCGCAGACCCGACGGAAGCTGCATCCTGCACGTCTTCCTGGGCGTATCTCTGCTCGTCCATCCCTGCGCTTCCATTGGCGCTGCGGGTGGTGGTCGGCCGCTGGAGGTGGGCGTAGCGGGTGTTGATAACGTTGGCCGACGGCGGGGGAAGGGTTTGGAGGGGCTGGCGCGTCGTCATTTCCGGGCAGCCGTCCTGTCGTGATGGTGCATAGTAGTGTGAGCTGCGCGGAAGCTGAATCTATGCGTGGCTAAGTTATGTTGCGGCGGGATTGCAGCGGTAAGCGCATTGGCTTGTGCAGTTGTTGTCAACTCGACGCGTCCCGACTTTCACTAGGAACGTGCACCACAGATCGCTGCAGGGATCTTATCGTCTATCTTGCCCAGGTGAGCATGCTTAGCCGACTCGACGTAGTTATATTGTAGTCAACGCTCGTCATTAGGCATTATAACATTATGCTTCGTATCATCATGCAGCCCTACGGCTCCTGGTCGTCTATGGCTGCGCATCTCTTCTTCACCATCTCCAAATCAGTATTGCCCTGCTCGTCCCTCCATGCACGCAGTACCTCCTCACGCATCACCCTCCGTGGCGCTCGCTTGCCAGTAAACAGCTCGAACTGAGCGAATGCCTGCTCGGGGATAAAGTCTAGACCGTCCATGTACGTCCATAGCTTCTTTGGCGCGTCGCGCACTTGCTGCGACAGTGGTGTATTGAGCGTCTTGTATGCCGTCTCCATCACGACACCGCCAGTCGGACTCTCCATCCACTGTGGAGGTAGCGAAAACTGCGCTGCTGGGCCCCCATCTATCGGATCCGTGGGTATGCACGAAATGATGATAGTAGGCTCCCGGAGATGCTCCGGCCAGCACTCATCGC